ATATATATATATATATATTGATTTCAGAGAGGAAGGGGGAGGGAGCAAGAGATTGAAACATCACTGATGAGAGACAATCATTGATTGGCTACCTTTTGCATGCCCCACACTGGGGATCAAGCCCACAACACCACATGTGCCCTGACAAGGAATTGAACCTTAACCTCTTGGTTCATAGGTTGACGCTCAACCACTGAGCCATGCTGGCTGGGCTGAACGTGATCATTCTTAATTAAATAGTTGAAAATATTATCTTCTCTTAATTTGCTATTTTGGTCTACTAATGGAATTATTTTTTTCCTGTGTGTGTTTATTAGCCATCTGTACTTCTTTGCTCATTTTTTTTCTGAATGAAAGACTGTTTTTTTCCCCCCAAAATCTTTATTGTTGAAAGTATTACATATGTTCCTTTTTTCTCCCATTGACCTCTCCCAGTCCACACCCACCCGACACCCCAGGCCTTCACCATCCCATTGTCTGTGTCCATGGGTTATGTATATATGCATACAAGTTCTTTGGTTGATCTCTTTCCACCCACTCACCCTCCCCCACCTTTCCTTTAAGATTCCACAGTCTGTTCCAAGTTTCTATGTCTCTGGATCATTATTGTTCATCAGTTTATTTTGCTCATTAAATTCCACATAAGAGTGAGATCATGTGATACTTGCTTTTCTCTGACTGGTATATTTTGCTTAGCATAATACTCTCCAGGTCCCTCCCTGCTGACTCAAAGAGTAAGAGATCCTTTTTTACAACTGCATAGTATTCCATGATGTAAGTGTACCACAACTTTATTATCCACTCATTTAATATTTTTATCCATTCATCTACTTTTTATCCACTTGGGCTGCTTCCAGATCTTAGGTATTGTAAATTGCAATGCTATGAACATAGGGGTGCATATATTCTTTCTGATTGGTGTTTTGGGTTTCTTAGGATATAAAACCAGAAGTGGGATCACTGGGTAAAATGGGAGTTCCATTTTTAATTTTTTGAGGAAACTCCATAATGTTTTCCATAGTGGCTGCACCAGTCTGCATTCCCATCAGCTATGTACAAGGGTTCCATTTTCTTCACATCCTTATCATTTGTAGATTTGTTGATGGTAGCCATTCTGACAGGTGTGAGGTGACACCTCATTGTCATTTTAATTTTCATCTCTCTGATGATCAATGACTTTGAGTATTTTTTTTCATATGTCTCTTGGCCATTTGTATGTCCACTTTGGAGAAGTGTCTATTTAAGTCCTTTGCCCATTTTAAAAAATTGAATTGTCTTCTTTTTTGTTAAATTGTATGAGTTTTGGGTATTAAACCTTTATCAGATTTATAATTTTCAAATATGTTCTCCTATACAGTGGAGTCCCTTTTCATTTTTTTTATGGTTTCTTTTTGCTGTGCAGAAGCGTTGTATTTTGATGTAGCCCCATTTGTTTATTTTTCTTTGTTTCCCCTGCCTTGGGGGATTAATCAGCAAACATATTGCTACAAGAGATGTCTGAGATTTTGCTGCCTATGTTTTTTCTAAGATTTTTATGGTTTCAGAACTTACATTTAAGTCTTTTATTAATTGTGAGTTTATTCTTGTGTATGGTGTAAGTTGGTGGACTATTTATTGAAGAAACTGTCTTGACTCCGTTGTATGCTCTTGCTCAAATATTAATTGAGTATAATGCCTTGTGTTGATTCTTGGGATCTCTGTTCAGTTCCATTGATCTGTATGTCTATTCTTGTGTCAGTACAAAGCTGTTTTGAGTACAGTGGCCTTGTATCTGGTATTCTGATCCCTTGAACTTTATTCTTTGTTCTCAAGATTCCTGAGGTATTTTTTTTGTTTGTTCCATATACATTTTTGGAATATTTGTTCTAGATCTGTGAAATATGTTGTTGGTATTTTAATGGGGATTACATTAAATCTACAGATTGTTTTGGGTAGTATGGACATTTTAATGATGTTAATTCATGAAACAGTATATTCTTCCCCTTGTTCATATATTCCTCTTTTTTTAATATCCTGTAGTTTTCTGAGTATAAATATTTTACCTCCTTGGTTAATTTTATCCCTAAGTATCTTATTTTTTGTTGTTGCAATGGTTAATGGTATTGTTTTTATAGTTTCTCTTTCTGAGAATTCATTATTGGTGTATAAAAATGCTATTGATTGCTGGATTTTAATTTTGTATCCAACATTGCCAAATTCATTTATTAAACCTAGTAGTTTTCTAGTGGAGTCTTTAGGATTTTCTATGTACAATATCATGTCATCTGCAAATAATAACAGTATCACTCCCTCCTTTCCAATTTGGATGCCTTTTGTTTCTTGTCTGATCGCTGTGGCTAGCACTTCCAGTACTATGTTGAATAAAAGTAATGAAAATGGACATCCCTGTCTTGTTTCTGTTCTAAGGAGAAATGGTTTCAGTTTTTGCCCATTGAATATGATGTTGGCTGTAGGTTTGTCATATATGGACTTTATTATGTTGAGGTATAATCCCTCTATTCCCACTTTGCTGAGAGTTTTTATCAAAATAGTGTGTTGTATTTTGTGGAATGTTTTTTTCTGCATCTATTGATATCATGTAATTTTTGTCTTCCAATTTGTTATTGTGATGTATCACATTTATTGATTTGCAAATATTGTACCAGCCTTGCATCCCTGGAATAAATCCCACTTGATCATGGTGTATGATCTTTTTAATATATTGCTGGATCTGATTTGCTAATATTTTGTTGAGGATTTTAGCATCTCTGTTCATCAGGGATATTGGCCTGTACTTCTCTTTCTTTGTAGTGCCTATATCTCATCTTGGAATTAAGATAATGCTGGCCTCATAAAAAGATGTTGGAAGTGTACTCTCCTCTTGGATTTTTTGGAATAATTTGAGGAGTATAGGTGTTAGTTGTTCTTTGAATGTTTGGTAAAACTCCCCTGTGAAGCTGTCCTGACCAGGGCTTTGTTTGCTGGGAGTTTTTTTTTATTACTGCTTCAATTTTGTCAGTTGTTATTGGTCTATTCAGATTTTTAGATTCTTCCTGATTCAGTTTTGGAAGATTGCATTTTTCTAGAAATTTGTCCATTTCATCCACATTGGCTGGCTTGTTGGTATATAGTTGCTCATAGTATTTTATTATAATCCTTTGTTTTTGTGGTGCAAGTTGTTATTTCACCACATTCATTTCTGATTTTATTTATTTGGGTCCTTTCTCTTTGTTTCTTAGTGAGCCTGGCTAGAGGTTCATCAATCTTGTTTATCCTTTCAAAGAACCAGCTCTTGGTTTTGTTGATCTTTTGTATTGTTTTTTTTGGTCTCTATCCACTGAGCCAAACTGGTCAGGGCTATACTCCTGTTTTTTTAATTGTTTTTCTTTTTGGTTCTCTGATTGAGAGATTTTTTTCTACCTTGTCTTCTCATTCACTGATCTGATCCTTGGCTTCACCTATTCTGCTGTTTTATTCCTTCCAATGTGTTTATTAGTCCTCTGTCATTGTTCATTTCGGACTGATCCTTTTTCATAGTTACTCTATCTTTTCTGATGCTGTTGATCATCCTTGCCATCATTATTCTGAACTCTGTATCTGATGAATTTCTTATCTCTATTTCATTTAACTCTTCTTCTGGAGAATTCTCTTATTCTCTCATTTTGGGATTGCTTTTTTGTTTTTCCATTTTAGCTGCCTGTTTGGGTTTATGCCTATACTAGAGGCCCAGTGCATGCACCGGTAGGGTCCTTCAGCCTGGCTTGCACCCTCTCGCAATCTGGGACCCCCCTGGGAATGTTGGACTGCTGGTTTCGGCCCGTTCACCACAGGCCAGGCTGAGGGACCCTACTGGTTCAAGAATCCATGCACCAGGCTAGTTTCAGCCTGATCCCCACAGGTTAGGCTGAGGGACCCCACCGGTGCATGAATCTGTGCACTGGGGCCTCTAGTATACATATAAGATCTTTGGTTAATCTCTTCCTGCCCTCCCCTCTCCCCTCTGAGATTTATCAGTCTGTTTCATGTTTCCATGTCTGTGCATTGAGCAACTGTCCCCCTGGTGGTCAGTGCTCATCATAGCTACCGGTCGAATGGTCAAATGGTTGAATGGTTGCTTAGGCTTTTATATATAGAGATATTAGGTAGATCTGCTACGACTCCCAATCTCTAGTGCAGGACAATGTCAGGTGCTGTTTGTGACTGGCCAAGAGCACCGTGTTTGGAGCTATCAGCAATATTCAGCTTGTGGCTCCTTCCCCTGGGGCTGGGTGCCTTTGGAAAGGACTAAGATTTGCACCAGGGTCTCCTTTTTCTAGCTCCGGGCCCAGAGGAAAATCATGCAAAGACTCAAAGCTTCCAGAGATCTACCTCTGCCTGCATTCAGATTGATATTTAGTCTTGATTCACCTCAGGCTATCAACCACACGGTGAGGTGAGAGGTTTTCCAACAGGGTGGGGCAATTGCTTTCTCCTAAGGCAAAAACTGCTTGCATGGTAAAGGTCTGCTGGAGAATGATATCATCTGTAGTTTGAGGGAATGTCTCAGCACTAGAAACCAGGGTAGCTGCTTTTTGAGCTCTAACCCCTCAACCCTGGATTGTGCTCACACAGCTCCATTCCACTCTGCCCAACCTCTGCCATAGCCCGAGTGAGTGGCTGCATACAAAATTTTGTGTGTTGGCCCTTTAAGAGAGTGCTTGTGTTTCTGGCCATGTCTTCCTGGCAGACAGCAAGCTAGCTACTTTTCATAACCAGATGTTATGTGGGCACCTTTGTCAGTTCTGGTGTTCTGGGCTGAGAGGGCCCAGCTTAGGGTTCAGACCCCCAGAGTTCTCAGTGGGAACTCCCAGCAGCTGAGATATCCCTCCGGAACTTCAGCTGCTATTTTTTTGTGCCTCTGCACTTCCTACCAATCTCTTTGTGGTCTCTACTTTATGTCCTTGGTTATAAGGTTTCTCTCCAGCTACTCTTCAGTTGATTATTTTGATGGTTTTTCTGTATTTTAGTTGTAATTCTAGTTTGGTGCTGGGAGAGTGTCAGTGTACTCTTCTGCCGTTTTGGAATCTCTGAGTGAAAAACTTGCCTTTGCTCCTTTCTTTACTGTGTTTTTTAGTGCTTTTCTTATTGTTTGGTAAGAGCTTTTTATTTATTAAGGATACTGATCTTGCATCATATGCAAAATTTTCCAAGTTTTTTGTTTCATAGAAGTTTCTAATTTTTATGTAGTCAGATACACTTGTGTGTGTTTTTCTTCTGCTTTATTTTGCTTTTTTTGTGCTTAAAGTCTTTGTCTATCTTATTAATCAGATAACATTTTGTTTATATGTTTTAAATCTGGATGAATTTTTATTGTAGTGGTCATCAGATACGTCAGAAAACTAGTGCAGTGTCTAATATGGCATTTCTGAACATGATGTATTGTCACTACATATTTGCCTAATATTTGACTATGAACAGACATTGGTTATTGGCAGAAGTGTTCTCTAAGACAGGTTTTGAAGAGGAAGAATTATTACTCAGACAAACAATAGGGAAAAGGATCTTCCAGGTAAGGAGACTAGCACATGTACAAGGGATGCCTACAGCTGGGGCTCAGCATGCATGTTGGGAAGAGAGGAGAGTTAGCTATGGTCAGATAATACAGGGCCTTTGAGGCATGTTGAGTAGTTTAAACTTACATTTTAAAACCATCACAAGGTTTTAAGTTGGAGTAGGACATTGGTGAAATGGACATTGGGAAATTTTGGTAAAATATTCTAATTTACCCTAAATGGCAGAGAAGAGGATTGGAGAGAATGAGATTTGAGTCTTGGAAATCCATTAGGAAAGAAAATGTTACTTTTATCAGCATATTAGGAAATTTGGGCAGTAACGTCATATGGGCTAGAAAGAACAGACTCAAGAAATATTTAGATGCAAGAATTTGTGCACTCCCCTATATTCTCTTATTGACCTTAAATATGGACAAAGAAGGCAGCACAGCATCGAGGGAAATAGAGGGGAAAATCTCCAGATTGGGAATCAGAGGCCTGGCCCCGCCCCCAACATGTGACCCTCACGAATCAATTCCTTCAGGGCAACTATTTCTTCATCATTGCAAGTACTTTCTGAACTAGATTATTTCCAAAGTCTCTCACAACTTTAAAAATTCTCTGTTCTCTCATAATATCCTCTATCAGCCTAGTGTTTTCAAACTGAAAGGTAGCCTGAGAAATCTTGTGAAAATAGAAACTTGTACTGGTACTTTTCTAGGATTTTTACTTCCTGTTTTTATAAAATTTGAGCCAGAGAAGGTTGTAAAATTATGTCAGGATGAGGCCTGCTGCTGTTTGGCAAACTGAACAGAGGAGATTTCTGATGCTCAAAGGTGAGGCTATTTATTTAAAGGGAGTTGCCAGCAGGATCATAAAACTCAGGCCTCTTACCTTTTCCATATCTTAGTTGACGTCATCATTTTATCCTGCTGTCTTGTGACCAAAAGCCAAAATAAAAACAGGCTTAGAAATGACAGCTAATACAACTATTGGAAACTCAAAAACTGTGGTTCAAATTTATTGGCAATTTTTGTAAACTTTGTGGTTTGGTTCATTCAATTTGAAAATACTTGCCCAACTCTGCATCTAATTACTTACTGAAACCAGTTTTGCTAACTGTCTTTTTAATCTTTAGTGGGAGAAGAAAAACTGAAGGATATAAAAAAGAAATGCCTTGCATTTCAGGAGTTCCTTGGATGTGAGGGCCATCTTGCTGTGACATCTGTCACCCCATTGATCGCCAAGATTGATTCAGCTGCTCTGACTGGCTAGGCGGGTGTCTCACTCCTAATAACCAATCCATGTGCGTCCCGAAGCTGCATGCTCGGTTGGTCCGTAGGTCAGAGAAGACAGCCTTTCCCCCAGAAGAGAGGACCGATCTTTGGTCAAGAGTAGCTGTGCTCCCCTGTTGGAACCTCCAAACAGGCTCTCAGGAATTCCTTGCTCTTTGGTTGTACTTTTCTGTCATTTTTATCTTGAGGCATTAAAATTAGGTCTGTACTCTGGGGCTTTGCAATCTTATCTAAGGAATCTATAAGGAGCTTAATCCTGTCTAGGAGAGATTGTACTAAAATGGCCTCTTCAGGAAGCACCAGAATCTACTCCTCAGGCCATTAGCTGTGTCTTGCTTACAAAAAGTTTATCACACTACCCTCAGAAAATTTCCATCTTATCATTGCTGCATCATAAATACCGGGAAAAAAACTATCTGGAGCAGTTTGAGTGTTTTCTTAGATTATATAGAAATTTCCAGCTTCATATACGTGACAGAGGACCTCTGACCTGTGGGATGACAGCCTGAAGACAAGGTATGGCTTCTTCTAGGTAGGCAAGGAGAGCCATTATTACTCTGCAGATGCTTTCTATTATTTTTTGTCGTGAAATCTCTGAGTATAGTCACCAAGTGCCTGGGAAATTAATTCACTTTAGGAAAAAAGCATAACAGAGAGAATTCAGTTCTCAAGTGGAAAATGTTTAAAAGCCATTTATTTATCTGATTTGAATCTTAAGAAATTTTAAATTAAATTTTATTGAAAATTTATTAGTTTCTTTAGGAAGCAATTTTAAGGAAGGCTTAGGTTAATATCTAATTCTTTAAATACTTAAAATTCTTCTAGGTAAATTTAAAGACAAAGTTCATATCAGTTATTGCAAGTTGCTGAGAGCTTAAAAATTGAATTTGCTCAGTACTCTTTTTGTCACAAAAACTCTATACGCAGTAATAATCACTTCATAGTATTAAGTCGGTGCCTCCACCTTTGCTCCCTCGTCTAAAATAGAAGCAAAGGGATGGTTAAAGCAAAGCTATGCACTTTTGTTCTCCCTTAATTTTGTTCATACTATGATTCAAACTGAAATGTCCTTTTCTTTCAATTTCTGCCTGTAAAGATTGCATTTGTCTTTTAAGATTCAGATAAAATGCTACCCTCCTAGGATAGATTTTTAAAAATAAAAATGTCTGTGAACATTTAGGACAGGAAGCAGAGATTACTAGTAAAACCACATGCTAGCTTCTCTTCCCATCTCTGTTGCTTTGGGTTGGGGCTCCCTGTGTGGGGCTGAGACTCATGCTCCTGGGGGAGGGAGTTTCGCAGGCTCAATATCCCTCCAGCTTCTCAGCCACCACTGCACCTGAGTGTGGCGTCTATCCCTTTTCAAGTCTCCACCCTTTTTACCAGTCTTTATGTGGCTTCTTCTGTAAACCATTGGTTAATATAGTGCAGTTCAGCTAGCCTTCGGTTGGTTATTTGGGTTGATTGCTCTATAATTTAGCTGTAAATCTGGTGTGGGACGGGGAACAGTGGGTGTAGCTTCCACCTACTCTGCCCCCATCTTGGAATCTTATTCTGCTGTCTTTTTTCTCCTCCTTTGTATGCAGGGAGTGTTGTTCAAGTTTGCCTATTACTTCATTAATGAACTTTTAACTACTACTTTTTGCCTCAATAGCTACACTTTTTAAAAAAACAAACAAACACTTTATTTTTGTTGTTGATATAGGCTTTGCTTTGCAAGAACTATTTACTTTTGAATAGTTCTCTTTTTTTACCATGGTTTATTCTTTTACTAGAGGCCCTATGCATGAAATTTGTGCAAGAGTAGGCCTTTGCAGCCCTGGTTGCCTAGGCCATCACAGCCCTGGCTTCCTTCAGAAGGTCATTCCGCTGTTTGGCCGTTTGGTCAATTTGCATATTACATTTTTATTATTATAGATTCACAGAGATTATATGCTTGTATTCTTTAAAATTTTTTTCCTTTATTGATTAAGGTTATTACAAATGTGTCCTTATCCCCCTATTGTCCCCCCATTCCCCCACTCATGCCCTTACCCCCCGGTGTTTGTATCCATTGGTTAGGCTTATATGCATGCATACAAGTCCTTTGGTTGATCTCTTCCCCTTAGCCTCACCCTCCCCTGCCTTCCCTATGAGGTTTGAGCATCTGATTGATACTTCTCTGTCTCTAGATCTATTTTTGTTCATCAGTTTATATTGTTCATTATAATCCACAAATGAGTGAGATCATGTGATATTTATCTTTCTCTGACTGACTTATTTTACTTAGCATAATGCTCTCCAGCTCCATCTATG